GCATTTGGAAAGTTTGTATTCCTAGATATGAGAGAAGAACCCACAATGCAGTCATACAGATTGAGAGTTCATCAGAGAAACAAACCATCCGGACTTACATATCTCCGTCTGAATCTGAGCATAAAGTGAGACTCTCCAACATCTGATTTAAGAGTCAGAAAGGAGCTCAGTGTAACATCTGTAAAGTGTCATTTTTATACTTTTTAATTTCAGTTTTCACTGAGTTTTATCATTCAGCTGTAAGGTCATCAAACCCTTTGTTTACTGATTGATATTGTTACCATGCTGCACTTAATGTCATTCTCAAATGTTACACATTATAAATACATCAATTTTATTTACTTTTTGACTTAAAAGTGACACAACCTGCATTGAATGTCCTACAGGAGGAAATATTTGGAAATGTCGTATTGGATCGACTTCAAAGTGTTAAAATGTTTTATTCCGTTGTGTTATAATAAAGGTGTTTATTCTTTCACACTATTGTTCATCCTCATGTTTCTCTGCTTCATGAACACAACACTGCAGCTGCCTTGAATTCCTGCCAAGTCTTGAAAGTGAAACTAAAAACACACGGACCAATCAGGAGGCAGTAAACTGCGGGGGGGGGGGGTTACTAATTTGCATGCATCAGGGAAAGGCGACCAATGGGAACCTTTGCTTTATTAATAAGAGTGGACTGTTGATATTGAAAGACTGCAATCAGCCAATCAGAGAGAAGGAGATCCACTGCCTGCTTATTGATCTGAACAGCTGTTTTCTAGATGTAACATGTATGGTAGTGCAGTTCAGGGACCAATCATTGAGGGATGCTGGGAATCCTGCTGTCTCCAGACTCAGGAGATCTCTCCACTTTCCAAAGGTTTACAGGTAAGATCACATCTTTGTTCTCCTGTTAGGATATAGGGAACTAAAAGCCACACCTCAATGACCTCGTGGTTATGAATTAAAGTGCTACCAAAACGACTGGAAACATCCGGGGTATCCTATTGGTTAAACTACAAAAAATACATCTCGGGAAAATGCTTTTTACACAGTATTTTGTGGAGAGCTTCCAGTTTCATGAACAATACAGGAATACAGTTTTCATTATTAATGAGAGTCCCTGTTTCTGTCTGAAGGCTGATCCAATTAGCAACCACACCCTTCCTCTCCGTGACACAGCAAACATCGACTGCACTCAATAGAGTGGCAGATAACTATATTAGTAATTCTAAAATAAATAAATAATAATTCTAAAAACATAATAAATAGTACAAAAGATATTATAAATATGATGATTTAGTAAATAATATGAATTATAATAATAAATTACGAAGGATAAATTGTATATAAAAAAAATTAAGAAATAATAATAGTTCAGATTATTGAAAGATTATTATAAAAAAATAAATAAGAATGATGATAATTATAGTACAAAATAATAACAATAATAAATACACAGAAATTATAAAAATAATAATAGCAAAAATCCAATAATAATAGTAAATAATAAAAGAGATTATAATAATAACAGTCAAAGACAGACTGCTGTATTGAATCAGAAATCAGACCTTTATTCGTCCCACAGAGGGTACATTGTTACAGCAAAAGTGAAAAAAAAGAAGTACAAATAAAACACTATGTTCTGATTCAGTTTAAAGAGACGATAATATTGATATCTGGCGCCACCTAGTGTCAGAAGCTCATTACTGTTCCTGGTGTCAGTCTGAAGTATTGTGATAATAACTACAGACAGACTGTGTGTCTTCTAATGTTGTGTGTGTGTGTGTGTGTGTGTGTGTGTGTGTGTGTGTGTGTGTGTGTGTGTGTGTGTGTGTGTGTGTGTGTGTGTGTGTGTGTGTGTATGTCCCTCTCAGGGAGAAGATGATCTTCCTCATCCTGCAGCTCCTCTTCCTCACCTCCTGTGTCTCTGGTTAGTTTGTCTCTTTAAAGCTGTTATATGTAAAGCAGCACAGGAACATAGCTGCAGTTTAAAGAGTCCCTCTGTGTTTCCTCCACAGGAACATAGCAGCAGTTTAAAGAGTCCCTCTGTGTCTCCTCCACAGAAATATAGCTGCAGTTTAAAGAGTCCCTCTGTGTCTCCTCCACAGGACCATAGCTGCAGTTTAAAGAGTCTATCTGTGTCTCCTCCACAGGAACATAGCTGCAGTTTAAAGAGTCCCTCTGTGTTTCCTCCACAGGAACATAGCAGCAGTTTAAAGAGTCCCTCTGTGTCTCCTCCACAGAAATATAGCTGCAGTTTAAAGAGTCCCTCTGTGTCTCCTCCACAGGACATAGCTGCAGTTTAAAGAGTCCCTCTGTGTCTCCTCCACAGGAACATAGCTGCAGTTTAAAGAGTCCCTCTGTGTCTCCTCCACAGAAACATAGCTGCAGTTTAAAGAGTCCCTCTGTGTCTCCTCCACAGAAATATAGCTGCAGTTTAAAGAGTCCCTCTGTGTCTCCTCCACAGAAACATAGCTGCAGTTTAAAGAGTCCCTCTGTGTCTCCTCCACAGAACATAGCTGCAGTTTAAAGAGTCCCTCTGTGTCTCCTCCACAGGAACCATAGCTGCAGTTTAAAGAGTCCCTCTGTGTCTCCTCCACAGGAACATAGCTGCAGTTTAAAGAGTCCCTCTGTGTCTCCTCCACAGAAACATAGCTGCAGTTTATAGAGTCCCTCTGTGTCTCCTCCACAGAAATATAGCTGCAGTTTAAAGAGTCCCTCTGTGTCTCCTCCACAGAAATATAGCTGCAGTTTAAGAGTCCCTCTGTGTCTCCTCCACAGGAACATAGCTGCAGTTTAAAGAGTCCCTCTATGTCTCCTCCACAGGACCATAGCTGCAGTTTAAAGAGTCTATCTGTGTCTCCTCCACAGGAACACAGCTGCAGTTTAAAGAGTCTATCTGTGTCTCCTCCACAGGAACACAGCTGCAGTTTAAAGAGTCCCTCTGTGTCTCCTCCACAGAAACATATAGCTGCAGTTTAAAGAGTCCCTCTGTGTCTCCTCCACAGAAATATAGCAGCAGTTTAAAGAGTCCCTCTGTGTCTCCTCCACAGAAATATAGCTGCAGTTTAAAGAGTCCCTCTGTGTCTCCTCCACAGGAACATAGCTGCAGTTTAAAGAGTCCCTCTATGTCTCCTCCACAGGACCATAGCTGCCAGTTTAAAGAGTCTATCTGTGTCTCCTCCACAGGAACACAGCTGCAGTTTAAAGAGTCCCTCTGTGTCTCCTCCACAGAACATATAGCTGCAGTTTAAAGAGTCCCTCTGTGTCTCCTCCACAGAAATATAGCTGCAGTTTAAAGAGTCCCTCTGTGTCTCCTCCACAGAAATATAGCTGCAGTTTAAAGAGTCCCTCTGTGTCTCCTCCACAGGAACATAGCTGCAGTTTAAAGAGTCCCTCTATGTCTCCTCCACAGGACCATAGCTGCAGTTTAAAGAGTCTATCTGTGTCTCCTCCACAGGAACACAGCTGCAGTTTAAAGAGTCCCTCTGTGTCTCCTCCACAGAAACATATAGCTGCAGTTTAAAGAGTCCCTCTGTGTCTCCTCCACAGAAATATAGCTGCAGTTTAAAGAGTCCCTCTGTGTCTCCTCCACAGAAATATAGCTGCAGTTTAAAGAGTCCCCTCTGTGTCTCCTCCACAGGAACATAGCTGCAGTTTAAAGAGTCCCTCTATGTCTCCTCCCACAGGACCATAGCTGCAGTTTAAAGAGTCTATCTGTGTCTCCTCCACAGGAACACAGCTGCAGTTTAAAGAGTCCCTCTGTGTCTCCTCCACAGAAACATATAGCTGCAGTTTAAAGAGTCCCTCTGTGTCTCCTCCACAGAAATATAGCTGCAGTTTAAAGAGTCCCTCTGTGTCTCCTCCACAGAAATATAGCTGCAGTTTAAAGAGTCCCTCTGTGTCTCCTCCACAGGAACATAGCTGCAGTTTAAAGAGTCCCTCTATGTCTCCTCCACAGGACCATAGCTGCAGTTTAAAGAGTCTATCTGTGTCTCCTCCACAGGAACACAGCTGCAGTTTAAAGAGTCCCTCTGTGTCTCCTCCACAGAAACATATAGCTGCAGTTTAAAGAGTCCCTCTGTGTCTCCTCCACAGAAATATAGCTGCAGTTTAAAGAGTCCCTCTGTGTCTCCTCCACAGAAATATAGCTGCAGTTTAAAGAGTCCCTCTGTGTCTCCTCCACAGGAACATAGCTGCAGTTTAAAGAGTCCCTCTATGTCTCCTCCACAGGACCATAGCTGCAGTTTAAAGAGTCTATCTGTGTCTCCTCCACAGGAACACAGCTGCAGTTTAAAGAGTCCCTCTGTGTCTCCTCCACAGAAACATATAGCTGCAGTTTAAAGAGTCCCTCTGTGTCTCCTCCACAGAAATATAGCTGCAGTTTAAAGAGTCCCTCTGTGTCTCCTCCACAGAAATATAGCTGCAGTTTAAAGAGTCCCTCTGTGTCTCCTCCACAGGAACATAGCTGCAGTTTAAAGAGTCCCTCTATGTCTCCTCCACAGGAACATTTGTAGTGAATGTGACTCAGACTTCCCATCAGGCAGAGGAGAACCAGAACATCACCCTGGAGTGGACCTTCAGCACCAGAACAGACACTAACTTCAGATCCATTTCTACCTACTGTGAGATGTATACTGAGAGCAGACCCTACGTCCTGTTTCATCTATACAAAGGTGATGAACTCCCAGAGTCTCAGGATCCACAGTTTTCAGGACGAGTCCAGTGGGACAAAGACGTCCTCACAGAAGGACGCCTCACACTTCATGTCTCCAGACTCAGGACCAATGACTCTGGGTTTTATGTGTGTGCCATACGCACACCTGATGGGAGTAACTATAGCATATGCTGGCTGGACATCACTGGTGAGTAACCTCAGTAGAAGTGCTGTATTTCAATTAAAACTTCACTTTTTGTTAAATATGCAGATGGTAGCTCTATGTGAAATGGTAAATAAACATGCAAGGTCATTAATACATTGTAAAATTGTATGAAAAGAGGTTTTCTCCATGTCCACATGATGTTACTATCTGTATTTTCCACAGCTGCTGCACAACCAGAGAGCTGGAGAAACAACTGGATCAACGTTAGACTGACACTGCTTTATTTCTTTGCTGTTGTTTTTGTTTCTTTTGTTTCTTTTTCTTATTATTGCTTTTGTAATTTTTTCAATTCTTCTTTTGTTTCTATTTGTGTTTGTTTTCTTGTTCCTATTTTTGTTTCTTATTTTTGTACTGCATTATTTTTAATGCACAGACATGACACTTAATAAACAAGACAGACTTTACATACTATCAGCAAAACTAACAACACAGAAAGGAGTACAGGTTTTAACCCCGCCGCATACGCTCTGTGCTGCGGCCACTGCTCTCTTTTATCCCTGTATTCCATTTTTTAAAAACATTTTTAACCCAGACCAAACAGGGCTTTTATAAACTTTAGATTTTACCACAGGAGTTTTTAAATAGGTTTTAAACACAAAATATTGACCAACCCTAACACTAAACCTAACCAAGTCTCACCCTAAATGAATGATTCCCCTCATGGGGACCTCTATTTTGTCCCCATAAGGGAGGCGAGTCCCCACAGTGACTGTGTAAACAGATGTAGGGTCCCCACAAGTATGGTAATGCTAGGACAACACACACACACACACACACACACACACACACACACAACACACACACACACACACAACACACACACACACACACACACACACACACACACACACACACACACACACACACACACACACACACACACACACACAACAACACACACACACACACACACACACAGCACACACACACAACACGCCTCAGAGATGAAATATTAGAAAATATACAGACATTCTTAACCAGAGGACAGTAATCTTCTGACAGTACGTGGCGCCAGATATGAACATTATATTTTCTCTGAACTGAATCAGGAGATACTTACACTTTTACAGTCAGTAAACAGAGAGCTGCCAGTTTAAAATCACCCCCCCCCACACTGTAGATTTAACCCAACAACAAAATGAGCCAACATGCTGAACCCAGAGTTTGTGTAGATAAAATAACACAGCGTTGTTCAGGGTGTAGCAGGGCCAGACTGGGACAATAAGTCAGGGAAATATACACCCAGCCAGGCGTTTTGCTGGATGTATCGTCAATAGTTACAGCGTTGCTGCCCATAGTGATAGCACTATAGTTTAAATCTACTACCCAAATAGAAACATACCTATTTAAGTGTGCAAATGTGTTTGGTAGCCTATCCATGTGAACATGATTTAAGTGTGTGTGGAACCTCAAATCCTAGGGGGGTCATATCTACAATATAAATCCAATGCAACCTTAAAGTTACAAGATGCAATATATAAAATACACAATTCAATTAAACTATAAACACAGGATGTAAAGTGTGCAGAGTAGCTCATAGCAGAACTTGACAGTGAGTTGGTGGAGGGGAGGTTGGTGTAGATTAAAGGTCCACTAGCCACACTCATTGTCATTGCGCAGGTCTCTCTAAATTCAAGTTAAAAGATTAATGAAGATAGAAATTCTGAATTTAATGACACATTTTATGTTGACACTGTAATGCATAGTCATGAGTTAATCCTTTCAATTCGTTCCAACTCAACAGCTCTTACATTAAGCAATGTGTAATGCACAGTGGTGATAGGTAGTTCAGTTGGCATAGTATTAATATGAAATGGAGAGACATCAACCAAAATGATTGGATACCATTTTCTTTTACATGCATTAGTGCGTACAAGCACCATCGGCCAATTCTAGGTTTGACTGTCAAACAACATAACATATTAGATTCAACTAATAGTATTGCTTTCAACCAACCTAATACAGTTATGTGAAACTTGTTGACATACATTTCAGTGTAAATCAAAACCTACATGTGTAGAAGGGCTGGTTTATCAGAGGTGGCCAGACTGCAGGATGTTACACCCAAACTCAGGATCACTTCTTTTCAAACTGAGGCATCAATACAAACTTTAGCTTTCACAATCTATATCAGAAAATGGATAAATGTTTTCATTTTCAAACAAGGCATATAGTTGTTGTATTAAAAAGCATGGAGACATCTTTGTTGTTATACCTGACAAACATCACGTCCTTTATGCTACATTCACCGTAGATAGGTGTAGGTTTACATATAGTTATAGTATACAGCAAAATATTCTGTATATCTCTTTCCTTCAGTGCAATGCTGCTAACAAAAAATAATATCTATTATTTTTTTTTCAATTGTATTAATTAAGTTTTAGAATATATTGGCTTCTATTTTGAGTATATTTAGTGAATGAAAAAGCACATTATATTGGCACACATCAATAGACACTACTATTTTAAATTATAATTAATTATGAGATTAGGAGCCAGAAATCCTGTCTCTCTTTGTGACGATTTCAGGAGATCTCGGGTCCCTCTGTTAGCCTATAAAGACTTAAAATATTAGGCCACCTTTGTCTGTATTAAGGCAGTGTCTGACCAAGGGGATAATATGTATTTCATATTCCATATCCGTGGCTCAATGTAAATTGAAATATCTTAAATATCATCTGGACTTTTGATATGATAAGCTTAAATATGTCTTTATAGTGTCAAAGCTCAAAAATCTGTTATTTTGTTCAAGATACATCCAGTAAGTCTATATTATAGAAACTTTAAGCAGATCTACTTCAAGTTCATTTCCTTAAGGCTAGTATAAGCTGACTGCATGTGGATATAATAGGAGAATGAAGGTTTGTGTAAGGAGGGAAGGAGGAAGCAGTGAAGATGAAGCGTTGTTTATTTGAAGGAGGCACGGACCTGACGGCCCTTCAGAGGCTGGGGGGGGCGGTAGTTGTCCACAATGCAGCATGGAGCCTCTCCTTCTCCGGTGAAGAGGAGGCCGCGGAACCTGGTCATCTGATGAAGAAGGAGAGACACGGTGTTTAAATCAATGAACCTGTGTCCTGGACACGTACCCACCACACTATGTTGGTGTAATATAGATTGTATACACTGTTTACTATTTTCAATGTTTCGTTGAGACATAAAAAAAGAATGCCTAACACTTGAAAAAAAATCAACAATATGAAAATGTCATCCGATCTGGGACAGCCAGGCAAGAGCCAAAAAAAGGATTCATTGTGATTCATTTGTTCAGCAGGATAATCTCCACATATCCACACTTGATTATGATTTTTGAAGCATAACTGCAGTCGGCTGAAGTAAAAATCTAACGTTTGGCTGTAAACCAACTACATCATGGTCACATGTCTGCGATCACCACCACCAAGCTGAAGACCGACTCGTGTCGCCGTGATGACGTTTAGTCTCATTTAGTCACCTGGTAGCAACAGCCGTATTAATGACAGTTTCAGACATTCACCAGTGGGGTATTTACTGACGTATTTCATGTAGTAGAACCAAACGTAAAAGTCTTGTATGATTTTCCAGACGTCTCATTCCAGGCTTCTAACCACAAACACGTTAAAAAAAACCTTGACTTGGACGAAGGAAACGGAAGTGGTAAAATGTTGTGTTTTTAGGGGTTTTATGACTCAATACTGCACAACTCTATATAGGTCAGGATTGGGGTTCACTCCAAGTGCAGATATAGGAGTGCACTGCTAATCTTTCTTGCCAGCTCAAGCACCATTGTTGTATTCAAACAAATCTACTCCAAGCAATTCCAAGGTTGTGCATGGTGGCGACAACATCAGAAATCAACTGTCTGTCAGTGCGGACTGTATGTTACAAACTCAATTCATCATACCCAAAGAGAAAACTCGCTGCTAGTGTCTCTTTATTCTAACTGAAACATATATTTTTAGAGAGTTGCTTATTGATATATTATACTTGACTAATTAAAGAGAGTCACTATATGCCACCCACCTCAACATGTGATCCATTTACCACCTTGTGGAAAACAGCTGAAAGCTTTGCTCCTGTCTTTAACAAAGTGACCACACCAATGATCACATGACTCCATGCTCCATGAGGTTTTCTAATACTGGATCACTGATAAGTACCCAATGCTTGAAATGGTGTTTGTTATAAAGAATCCATGACTTGGTTTCAGACAGGCCAACACCTCCAGGCAGAGCCAGAAAAACAGGTCAATATCCACGTCACCTGTCACCTGGAGAGGGCTTCTACTGGGGTTTGAATCTCTGTCTTCACCAACTAAGCCTTTGGAACCTCTGTTTTGGTTCATTGGATTTAAGAGTTGTTTAGGGGAAGAGCCATAAGAAAATGTCCACACGATTAGTTAGCCAAGAAAGTCATGACAGAAAGTATTCCTTCTAATTCAACCATTTCTGACTAGGTGGGCATTACAAAACTTCCCCGCACATACTGTATGCATGCGTTATGTTGGAGTAGAACACTTTTCTGGTGGCTGAATAGCCCCCCTCTCCGCGCCGTTCGTTGGATGAGGCTGGATCTCTATTAAATTAAGAAAGGAATTGAAAACACCGGAATCAAAGTTATACCAAATTATCTGAGTTTACTTCTAGTAGGAAACCAAACACATATACAAGTTATACAGAGTACTCGAGCACTCCGGACTTTCAGATTTGTGATGCGATGCGGATAAAGGCGTCAGGACCATCAAACTCATCAAACCAAAAAGAAATTGGACTTCAGGTTTGTGATGCGATGCGGACACAGATATCAGGACCAACAAACTCACCAAACCAAAAAGCGACTTCACACTCAAAAACATCAGTATTCATCTCTATCTTTGGGGCGGAGATTTGTCGACTCTTCCTTCCCATTTTTCTCCCAAGCGAATCAGAGTTCCGTGAGGAGGAGCTGTGTAAGCTGATCACCTCCCCCAAGTGTCCTGATTGGCTGGATTCACTTCTGGTCGAGGTCAATCAGAGTTCCGAACAGAGAGTGAGATCCTAAATTTCACCAGGTCAAAAGTCAACGTTTATCTC